CCGTGATCCCGCCGTCAAGTTTGCCTTCGATCCGAACCGTCTTTTGCCTGGCCGTCGAGTAGGGACAGTAACACGATGAGCCTCTCGTTCGGTGGAAATAAGGTCACATAATCCTGAGCGTCACCAGCCCATCTTCGGAAGTTATCGCCAATGGAAAACTTTGACGGTTGTGAGAGGGCGAGGGTTGGCTTCGTGCGGAGAAATCCACCTGCAATGACAGAGCTCAGCAAGGAAAGTATTGTCGAGAAGAAACTCATGATTGCAGAATAAATCGAATGCTCTCCTTCATCTACCACGACAGCTGGTGCACTTTTCTGGGGCATCCTGTCAGAGTCGCCGATTATGTAGTATTCCTCTCAGGATATGGGCACGCACAATAGCTGAAACGAATTGAATACGTTAAACGCACCGACTGATTACTCGACAGGCACACACAGGGTGGAGCCAGAGAGAAGTCACAAGTCACAGTGAGGAAACGTATATTCCAGATGTATACAGTAAACACGCTCACGCGCAAGTGGGGTAGGATAGGGAACACAGTTTATCAGTTAAACAACTTCATCTTTTTTAAACCATGTTCATTCGCCATTAGGCTCTTGATCGTACAATCTTCTGTGTGGCTGCGGTGCGTAAACTCTTGAGGCTATATCTGGAAAAGAGGGAAGAAAGGTACATCCCATTAGTGTGGGAGTTTCAAGTCTGTAGGTAACGTTGCACTTGGTCAGCTCGTTTGAGTTTGGTGTACATTTTCGTTCGATTGTTCCCTGCGTTCTGCTTGGGTGAGCATACACCCAAGCATGTCTTTTCCTATTTGTATAATTTATTATAATATGTTCTATATACCCTATAGACGTCGTGGTCTACCGTGTGTATTTGTGTTTTCGTTGCTCGTTCTCGTCGGATTCGGTTACTTGGAACCGTTCGTTATGGGGTCGAATACGTTCGTTCCAGTGCGGGATTTATCGTCGATAGCGTGTGTGAATTTGTTTATTCCAGTTGAGGATTGATCGTTATTCCAAATTTCAGGCCCGTTTGTGATAGATCACGGTGTTGGTATAGTTTTAAACGCGTATTAAACTTACGATCTCAAGCGAACGCAACAGTATTTGGATTGGCTCAGAATTCGTCTACCGATCAGTTGAAAGTTGTTTACAATATTTTGATTGGTGCCAGGCAAACGTTTCTGTGTTTATACCCTTTTTGCCTATCCGATTGCCTTCTTACAGTCGTGTCTGTGGTCGAGCTGTAACATTTGTTTGGCTTCAGGTTAATTCGCTTGCGGTGAGCGATTTACCGTTGCGCTTTATTTCTTCTTGTTTATTTGTACTATGAATCTATCCAGCCAGGATTCTTCAGAGTAAAAGTCTCAGGCTGATGCTGCCGGTGCATCTTTCCCTGGTAAGTTTGACTATTTTTGCCCAGATTATGACAATTTTGATGTTCATAGTGATGTCAGGTTAGAGCTCGATAGCACTCAACGCGAGTTGGAGGCAGCAGAGGCGATGCGCAGGGTGACAGCAGCCAAACGTAGGGCTGCTGAGAGGTTACGCCATAAAGACAGGACTGACGTTTTTGAAACTATTCGGTTACCTTATAATATAGACATTGTCGGTCCAAGAGATCACGGGTCTTATTCAGATAGCGTTACACCTGAGAATGTTCGTAATAAGGCTGTAGAATTGGGAGTTAAACCCAGAATAACGGATGTCTCAGAACAGAAATTGGGCAGGATCGATCTCTTAGTTAACCAACTGGAGCTGCCTAGGTGTGAGTGTATTTCATGATGAATGTTTTGAAAATCCTTCCGAACCCATAATGATTTATGGTGAAATAACTTTATCTGTGTGTTGCTCTTATATTGACATTTCTCGATCAAGAACATCACACATCATTATTTATCTGTTAATTTGGATGCCCGGCACATTTGAATTTGTCGTGGTTTGAGAACGGGAGCGACTGTTTGCCTCTCTCTGGAC